CTGAAACATAAAAATGACGGATCATTCGTAATCGTATTAATTATCAATCGTACGTTAAGTTTATCTCCGCACATTCCTTGTAATATCGATAAGAGGAAAAAAAAGAAAAAGAAAAAAAAAAGACAAAAGATAGAGAAAGAAAAAAAAAAATAAAAGAGGAAGGAAATATAACACTCGTTTTCTCAAGGCACATCGTTAAAACGATTGGCATTGTTTTATCTAGCAATACGTATCTCATCAAAAATTATTTCAATAATCTTCATTGTTGAAATTTTGATAACAAAAAAAAAAAAAAAAAAAAAAAAAAGAAATTGGATCATCAATCTTCGATAACACCTGGATCATTTTTTTTTCAAGTGATCTCTATCTAATCTAATGACATAAATGACAAAACGATTCATTAACACAATTAGTAATACTTTTTCTCGATGATTCACGAATATTTTCACTGTAAATTGTTATTACTTAATAGAAAAAAAAAAAAAAAAAAAAAAGACTAAAGAAAAGAACTAAAAAAAAAGAATTAAAGAAGAGAAAAAATTATTATTATCAATTAACTCAATTGATTTTCACTTTGTTGACAGCGTGCATTCTTCGACAAGATATTATTTTTGTTTATTTGCTCTTTTAATAAATAGACACTAAATATCGTCAAGGTAAACGGGAAAAGAAACAAAATTTCGATTTGATTAAAAGAGCATCACTTTTCGATGTCTTATGATCATGCTAATGTACACCTGCGAAAATATATATATATATATACATATATACATATACATACACATACACGTATAATAGCCGGATTCTCGTTATTGTTCTAATTCTTTAAAAAAATGTAGAGTCACCTCGCATTTGTGTAAACGCCTTTTCTTTGCGGGGTTTCTCGTTTTTTCGAAGTCATTATCGAATCTATATATACATATATATATATATATATATATATATATATATTATTAGCCTATGCCTTTTGCGAAAAAAAAAGGAAGAAGCCACTTGTGCAAACACCTAACAGATTTTCCAAACTTCCGACGATATTTCACGAAAAGTCAAACATTTCAAACCAATCAAAAAGAATCAGGAACGTTCGAATTGTATCGAACAAAAGTTATATTTTATTTTACTATTACATAGTAATTGACATTAATTTTGCAATTACGTTCTTAAGAACGTAATGCCTTTTTTAGAAGTTCTTATTATATATATAAAAAAAAAATATATATATATATTTTTTATATTATTTTTGATATGTGTGTAATACACACATATTAAAGAATAATTGAATAAGATTTCTAATTCAGTAATTTTTTCGATCTCCCGATTAATCGAGTAACAGCGGGAGTAAGACAACAAAAAAAAGGACGAGAAAAGGAAAGAAATGAAAAGATAAGGAAAGGGAAGGAAAAAGGAAAAAAAAAAAAAAAAGAAAAGAACCAGGTGGAAACGAAAAATAAGAACGGAAATGAGAGAAATTTCAGAAAAGAGTTCCGAGTTTTCTCCTTTTGCTCGATTTGTTAGCGTAAATCGTAACCGGACGTTCCTCCGGTGTAGTCGTACGATAAAGGATGCGCATGAAGAAGCAAACGATGAAGAAGAAGAAGAAGAAGAAGAATAAGAAGAATAAGAATAAGAAGAAAGGAATGAGAAGAGAGGAATAGTTCAAAAAAAAAAAAAAAAAGAAAAAAAAAAGAAAAGAAAAGAAAAAAAGTAGAAGTAGAAGTAGAAGTAGAAGAAGAGAAAAAGGTAGAAGAAAAAGAATAGAAGTCAAAGAAGAATAAGAATAAGACGAAAAAGGTGGGAGGGAAGGAGGAGGAGGATGAGGAGGAGGAGAAGGAAAAGGAAGAGAAAGGGAAGGAAAAAAATGGGAAGAAAGAGAAGGGGAGGAGGAGAAAGGGAAGGAAAAAAAGAGAGAAGAAGAAGGGAAGGAGAGCGTTTGAACGGAAGCATTGTTTAGAAAGAATTCGATATATATCTACTCGTGGAAAAGAGATGGAAGAGAAACGAATCCAACCCTCCCCCTCTCTATCTCCCTTTCTCTCTCTCTCTCTCTCTCTCTCTCTCTCTCTCTCTCTACCAAACGTGATTTACATGCACGCCAACCATCGTCGTTCGCTTTTATCGTAGCACTTTTCGCGTAGCCCACGCATATATATATATATATATATATATATGTGTGTACCCATACGATTCGTATAGTTCAAAGTATAGAAAGACAGGAATAAAAAGAGAGAGAAAGAGAGAAAGAGAGAGAGAGAGAGAGAGAGAGAGAGAGAGAGAGAGAGAGACGGAGAAAAGAGAAGAGAGAAAGAAAGAGAGAAAGAGAGAGAGAGAGAGAGAGGAGACGGACGGACGGGGTTCGTTCGAAATCCGGGAATTGGGTTTTACGTTTGGCACGTCATTACTTTGTTTATGAGCGCGGGAACGCGCTGAGACAGGGAAGAATAAGTGTGGCTCGTCCGGCTAATATTTACCGGTCGGTCAAGCGCGTCGCGCCATTTTCCTCGGTCTTTCGCAAAAGGTTTTAAACTACTAATACACACGTGCACAGCACACGTGTGATATAGGTTGAAAGAGAAAAAGAAATTTTACCGATTTTACACAGAAAAATTGAAAGAGAATAGAATAGAAGAGTATCACAGATCATATATACATATATATATACATATATATATATGTATATATATATATATATGTGTGTGTGTGTGTGTGTATAGATATATATATCCGCCTAACACTAACTACTGTCCTTCTGCCCACACTTTGGCAAAGAACCAATGTGGAATAATTTCTGCGTTTAGAAACGACGCGTTTCGTTTCGTCTCGTTTCGTTTCGTTTTGTTACGTTTCGTAGCGTATCGTATCGTTTCGTTTCATTTTGTTTCTCGAGCCTGAATAATTCTTTGCTTTTTTCTTTTCTTTTTTTTCTTTTCTTTTTTCTCTTTTTTTCTTTTTCTTTTTCTCTATATTACGTAAAAACCATCGAGAATGATATATTTATTTCTCGATTCTTACAGAAAGTCAAAAAATTTCGTATACAAAAAAAAACATTATAATAATAATAATAACAATAATAATAATAATAATAATGATAATAATAATAATAATAAAGAAATAAATTAAAAGAGAATGCAAATAACGTGCAAATAACTAAGTACAACATATAGTAAACTAAGTATAAAATATTTTTTATAAGTAAATTGAAGTAACAAAAAGAGAAACGGTTGCGTCGTCGTAAGTGCAATAAATGAACTCTAATAAATCGAATTCTCGCGCATTCCCGATGGTATTATCGAAAACGACGAATAATTGCAATGATTCCCGATGAATCCACTTCGCGTTCTTCATTACAAAAGGCTGAGTAAGAGATAAGATTTAATAATTCATTAAATTGGTATATTCTCTCTCTCTCTCTCTCTCTCTTTTCTCTCTATCTCTCTCTCTTTCTCACTTTCTGTCTAATTCTCTTTCTTTTACTCTCAAAGACGACCCCGATAAGCTATCGGATTGCTTTTTCGTTCATGAAGTTAACCGCGAAGTATTAACGGTATCAACGATATTTAGACGACTTGAAATAGATACTCGAATTAGTTTTGCCTTTATAAGATATGAATTAATTCCAATCGTATCCTCCATTTCTTTCTCTATCTTAACGCAAATCAAATTGTTTGATATTCATTTTAACCCGAAATGAAATCATTCAATTCCTTTTTAAGATTTACTATTACATTCCCAATTATTCTAATTATTCTATCCAATAATAATTATCTGTTGAGTAGATTGAGTTAATAATTATATATATATTAATTTTAATCTATTCGTCTAATTTCATTATTCTTAAAATATTCAAATTATATTAAATACATCGAATAATTATTTATCCCGAATAAATAGATATTCATGTATATCTATTTAATTATTTTATCTGTCATTATTCTTTTCTTCATTCATAGAAGAATTAATGTAATTCAATGAGAAAGAGAAGAAAGAAAAAACAAAAAAAGATAAGAAACAAAAAAAGAAAAAAACAAGAAATATATATATATATATATATATATATATATATATATATATCGACTTTAATACAATCACCCAGCTCATTATAAAAAATATCTATCCATCTACCCTCTAGTAGTAGTAGTAGTAGTAGCAATAGTACTAATATTAATAGTAGTAGTAGTAGTAGTAGTAGTAGTAGTAGTAATAGTAGTAAATAGTAGCAAGCCACAAATACTTCTTTTTCTCACGTAGAAACACATACGTACACATACATACACATTCTTCTAACAATAAGATCAATCACAAATTCTTTTTCTTCCATCTCTTTTATAATACAAAGAAGGGAGACCGTTTGTATTCGCGTCGCGATTTAGAACGACTGGCCATTGAAAGGAAAAGCACTTAGCTATACGGAGACAGGAAGAAGGAAAGAAGGAAGGAAGGAAGGAAGGAAGGAAGGAAGGAAGGAAGGAAGGAAGGAAGGAAGGAAGGAAGGAAGGAAGGAAGGAAGGAAGGAAGAGAGGTTGGGAAGGGGGAAGGAGAAATTCGTAAGAGAGAAAGGAGAAAAGTAGTGGAATAAGGTATAGCGCCTTCAAGTATCGTGTTATATCGAACGTCGTGCGTTTATACAGATATACATATACACATACACACACACACATACATATACGCATACACACATAACATATATACATACATACATGTATATATACATATATATATATCCATATATATTCCGAAAAAGTCTTGTGAATGTTACGGATTAAGTTTTAACAACGATTTAACCAATAAGAAAAGAAGAGAGACAGAAAGAGAGAGAGAGAGAGAGAGAGAGAGAGAGAAAAGACCAACGAACAACGGTACACTCTTTCTATGGTAAATCGCTTTCCGATTTTCAGATTTCAAAGACTTTTCAAATATACACTTATTTTTTTCTGTTTTTTTTCTTTTTTTTTTTTCTTATTATCCATTTCGTACCATCTTCTTTATCTACAGACTCTCCGTCC